CCCCCCCCCCCCCCCCCATGGGCTCCGGGTGTCCCGCAGCTGCACCCCGACGGCCCACGCGTGCTGACCACCACGGCGCGGGGCAGCGTCAGTCTGGGCTGCCACGCAGCTGCCCCGCTTGTGATTCAGCTCGGAAACCCCCACGGGCCCCGGAATAAGAACACTCCGAGCGAGAATTCTGCATTCGTAGCTGTGCCCATGGCATAACTGCTTTTCCAAAAAGAAAGCGCTACTCTATTCAGAACGCCCCTGCGCGACGCACTCCAGCTCTGCACGGTAGAACTTCGCGGACAGCGCCCCTCGTACCTTTATTCAACATCTCATCAGCCTCGTCCAAAACCAGCATCTTGATAGCACGCGTCCTTAAACTTCTGCGACGGATCATATCTATAAAATGAGATTTTGAAAGGCTCACGTGTGGCCACGCTGAAGGACGCTCACGGCAACCGGAGCTGTTCTCTCCACCACCTGCAAGCGACCCGCATGCGAATACCCGCCACGCGGCACACCCAATTAAAACCGTGAGAGCAGCTCTTACAGATGTCAGCTGAGGCAGTCTTACGGACCAAAGCTCTTACCAAAGACGCGCCCTGGCGTGCCCGCGACAACGTGCTGACCATAATCCAGCTTCCTGATGTCCTCCCCGACGTTGGTGCCCCCGATGCAGGCGTGGCACTGGACGTTCATGTAGTCGCCAAGAGCAAGCAGGCCCTGAATCAGAACACAGATCATGCAGGGCCCCAGCCAGGACAGCTCAGCTTCCCCAACCCGAAGGTCATCTCCGTGCCAAGCTAGGATGACCGACTGCTACCTCAGTATTTATATAAGGCCAAGATTTCCCCTCCTAGGCTTTCTCCACCAAAATGAACTGTTTCTTATTACAAAAGCAGCAAATATTATAGAAAGACAAAAAATTAATACATAAAATCACCATCCTCTTCATCTAGAAGCAACATGCATTATTATTAAAATTGACTTTTTATCGGAAAATTTGTTGTCTCTATCTTTAAGGTTTTTGTCACAGGACACATGCACTCACCAAAGAGACAGAGAGAGAGAGACAAACAGTGAGAGGGAAAGTGAGAAATGCCTCCAGGGTGGGATGGCCACACCACAATCCTCCATTCTCCTCTCAGGATTCCGGGCGGGCACACACGCACCTGGCATGATTTTCAAGCTTCCGGGACTAGGATTCGAACCATGGTCAGTCATGTGGGAGTCCACCTTAACCACTACACCACCTGTTAGGCCCCTAAATTTATTATTTATAAGAGTGCAAAAATACCATTAAAAGCACACAAACACTAAAAATGACTTAACGTGGGACCAACAGTTGGCGTAATGGCTATGTTGCTTGGCTCCCATGTAGTCAACTGCGGTTCGAGTCCCAGACCCGGTGGCTTAAACTCACACCGGGCATGTGTGCGTGCGTGCCCAAGATCCCGAGAGAAGAATGGAGGAGAAGGGACTGTGGCGTGGCCATCCCCTGGGGGGTGACTTTTCGCTTTCTGTCTCTCTGTATCTCTCTTTCTGGCAAGCACACGTGCCCTATAGCAAAAACCTCTCAAAAAAAAAAAAAAAAAAAAGACTTAACACAAAATCAGCAATCCATATGATATATATAGGTTTAGGATCAGAAAAAACATTTTGAACAAACAGGACAGGATAAGATTAAACTACCACTCCTTACAACTAACGCCCAAGAGGGGCGCCGTCTTACCAGACTCACCTTCTGGATCTGCACAGCTAACTCTCTGGTCGGAGCCAAGATCAAAGCTTGGGTTTCACGAACCTGGTGAGACAAGTATCAGAAATAGAGGCTCCTCAGTAGTTGTGAGGGTACTGCAGCAATTCACACTCAGGCCTCCTGCTGACCACACTCGATGTCTGACAGAAGGAAGCAACCTGAGTGTTTTAAGCTGAAATCGCAAATTCACTAAGGACGGAGGTACCAGTCAGGATCCTTTTCTGCAGACAAGAATTTCCTCTAGTTAAAAAAAAAGGGAATTTATGGAGACCAGCAGGTGGCATGGTAGCTGGGGCGCTGGACACTCTACAAGGCCAATCGTGGTTCAGGTCCTAGACCTGGTAGTTTGTTTTCTCACTCTCTCTCTAGTCAAATTAAAGTAAACGAATGAATAAAGAAAACTAAATAAATAACCCTTTAAAAGTGAATCTACGACAAGTATTACGTATTACTCAGCTCGGACGTTAGTGTGCCATCAGGAACTGAGAACAGCACTTCTCCACGCGGCAGGGACAGGAGAAAGGGCAAGTGCTTCCCAGGACTGAGGTGCGGCATGCGTCAAACGCTCCGAGTGCCCGCTTACCTGGATATCCAAGCACTGGAGCACCGAGATACTGAAGGTGGCCGTCTTGCCTGTGCCAGACTGAGACCTGCGTGAGGAAGGAGCAGCGGGTCAGAGGGAGGAGCCACAGCCACCTCTCATTCCCGTAACCACCTCCCCGTGCTTCCGCCGGGCTCCTCAGGCACCACTCGGGCAGCTTCCTCCAAGCAGGTGTCCCTGCCCACACATCTTCATTGCAAGGAGGCAGGACTAGGTACAGTGTCACAGACCTCCAAAGATGATGGGGACGGTAGATGTGGCTTCCCGACTGGCAGCTGTGGAGTCATAGACTCTACAACTTCAACAGGTGTTTTGAAGGTTTCAGAGAAAAAGGGGGGCTCCTCTTCACTTAAATATAGTTCTTTTCTATAATTGTGAACTAAAACTGTCCTCCAAAAATTTGGGTCAACAAGACTTTTTTTAAAGTCAGTAAATGCGGGACCCAGCAGCTGGTGTAATGGCTATGTCGCTGGACTCCCATGTAGTCGACCACGGTTCGCGTCCTGGACCTGGTGGCTTAAACTCACGCTGGGCGTGTGTGCACATGTGCCCAAGATGCTGAGAGGAGAATGGAGGAGAAGAGAATGCGGTGTGGCCATCCCCCGAGGGGGTGATTTTTCACTTTCTGTCTGTCTGTCTTTCTGACAAGCACACGCGCCACATAACAAAAACCTCTCAAAAAAAAAAAAAAAAGTAAACATGGAAAAAAGCTGTGAAAAGAGTATTCTATAAAATGTCACATGATGACTGACAAATGTGCAAAACTGGCTACAGAAATGAAAAACCGGGGCCAGCAGGTGGCACGGTGTAAGGCACTGGACTCCCACATGGCCAATCACAGCTCAAGTCCTGGACCTGGTGGCTTGCGTCCTTGCTTCCCCTCCTCACTCTCTCTCAATCTGTGTCTCTTTCTGGTGAGTGTGTATGTCCTATAGCAAATTAAAAAAAAACTGCTACTTCTTTTTTAAATGACAAAATTGAAGCCTTCCTTAACAGAGTGCACGAGCACAGGTGTGCACACTCGCCTGCGACCTACGTCAAGGAACGAGCTGGGGCCCAGCGTGCACGCACCGAGGACACAGCCGTCTTCCCAGAGCACCAGAGGGCACTCTGCTTCACGCCTCGGCTGAGCCCCCTCTGGGCGGCAAGCCAACTTACTGCGCGATGACGTCTCTGCCTTTAATGATCTGCTTAATAGCTCGCTGCTGGATGGCGGACGGTTTCTCAAAACCTGCAAACAGAAGGAAAACTAGCTCTCACCCCTAGGCCGCGTTAAAACCAGGCAGGTCTTGAGGGCAGCCGCGGTTTGCTTTTAACTCCCAGCGCCACCCGTCGTGACCGTTCAACACAGAAAACTCTCAAGCGTAACGGCTATGTCACAGCTATGTCGCTGGACTCCCACGTAGTCAATTGTGGTTCGAGTCCAGGAACTGGTGGCTTAAACTCACGCCAGGTGCACGTGTGTGCGTACCCAAGATCCCGAAAGGAGAACGGAGAAGGGACTGCAGTATGGCCATCCCCACTAGGGGGTGATTTCTTGCTTTCTGTCTCTCTGGCAAGCACAAGTGCCCTATAGCAAAAATACTCTCCAAAAAAAAAAAAAAAAAAAGAGAAAACTCTCCAGGCACAGGGTGACAAACTGGGCTGAGGCGGGTTTTATACTAACAGTATTATTTGTACAGACAAAATCTCTGTAAAGAAACAGCATGTTGAAGGACATATAGAAGCTCATTTTTGTTTTAAAAATCTTTTGGCTGTGCAGGGTCTCAATATGGGCACCAAAATGATACTGCGTGTTATTGGTGGCCCCTGGGGAGTGGGGTGGGGGAACCTCATTTTCTACTCTAGATACCTCCGTATCGTTTGACTGAATTACAAGTGGCCTTAATCAGAGTGCGGAGGGACTGTGTGTGTGTGTGTGTGCGCGCGCGTGTATGTATAAATATAAATATATATATACTTCTTTGTAAAGACTTTTGCTGGGGCCAGCGGGTAGCATGATGGTTGAGGTGCTGGACTCCAACATGGCCAGCCATGGTTCAAGTCCTGGATCTAGTGGCTTACTTTCTCATTTTCCCTCCCTCTCTCTCTAGTCAAATTAAAAATAATAATAAGTTTTTTAAAATAAAGACTTTTGTCATAGGGTGTGCGCTCGCCAGAGAGAGAGAAAGTGAGAAAGCACTCCCCAGGGGGTGGGCAGGGAGAGAGTGGCCACACTACAATACCTTCTCTGCCATTCTCCTCTTGGGATTTTGGGTAGGTATGCACCAGCAATTGGCATGTTTTTCAAGATGCTGGGCCCTGGACTCAAACCACTCAGCAGGTCATATGAGATCCCGTGGCTTTAACCTCTACACTACCTACTGGACCCTGCATATTACTTTTTTTTTTTTTGGAGAGGTTTTTGCTATAGGGCGTGTGCGCTCGCCAGACAGACAGAGAGAGACAGAGAGACAGAAAGCGAGAAATCACCCCCCAGGGGGGATGGCCACGTCGCAACCCCTTCTCCTCCAGTCTCCTCTCGGGATCTTGGGCACGCACACACACACGCCCGGCGTGAGTTTTAAGCCACCGGGTCCGGGACGCGAACCGTGGTCGACTACATGGGAGTCCAGCGACATAGCCATTACGCTAACTGCTGGTCCCCCTGCATATTACTTTTTAAGTTAAAAAAAAAAACGAAAATAAACCTGGTAGCACCTCGCCACTGCTCTTCCCTACTAACAGTATTAGGTCTGTGGGTTGTTCCCGTTGACCGTAGTGAGCTCGTCTGCCTGCCCCTCTTCCTGTCCCAGCCACATCATCCAATCATGTTCTAATTATTTTAGGCAGGCTTTTAAAATGTGGCACAAATGATGCATCTTAGCAGAAATGCAAACATGACAGATGATTTAAACTGCTCATGAAAGCATGCACATGGATTGCAAAAACAGCATTTGGGGGTGGGATGCCCTGGCAGGTGGGGCTGTCGGCCTCAGGAAGCTCTGCTGCAGGGCTTGTTTTCACCTCCCCAAGCCCTCTGAGACTGCCCTCCGCAGAGAGGCCCGGGCATGACACAGACCACAGACCTTCTCGGACTCCCCTCTGTAAAACGTCCCAACCCAACCTCTTCCCTGGCTCCCAACTTACACAAACCACTGTCCCTGCCAACTCAGGGTCCCGCACAGACTACAGACGGGAGCAAGAGCTCTGGTTCTGCCTCCCGGGGTGCCGCCCCCTAGCTAAGCTGAGCAGCTCCGGGCTCCATCCTCAGCCGTGCACGTTTCACCCCCACCAACCAGCCTCCCAGCCCTGGGCAGTCTCACCACCTCTCCTGGGACCAGAGCAAAGGCCGCCCCACTCACCTCCCGCTTCCTCTCCTGCCTCACCTCACCCCAAATCCAGACCCCAGATCAAGCTCTAAAACAAACTTGTCACTCTGCTGTAAAACCCTGCAGGGGGCTTTCCCGGGGAACTGAGACGCAGAACACAAACTGTGCCACTCCACCTGTCTTCACAAGGTGGGGTCTCTGCCAACCTCTGCCGGCCCCCAGGGGCTTCTTTCAGGTCCTGGAGTGCGCCGGCCAAGGGCTACGAGGCCCAGGCACCAGCCGTCCGCTCTCGGCTCACAGGTCGTGCCCGCTGCTGCGAGCCCCGATCCCGCGCCCCGCGCGCTCCTTCTCCCGCGGCCACCGCACTGTTTCCCGCTTCGCGTTCCCTACGCCGACTGCGCTGCGAGAAGCAACCTCGGCCCCCGCTCCCTCCCTCCCGCCGCCGGGGGCGCCGGCAGCCTGGCTCGCCGCCAGCCCCACTGCCCGGGGCACCCCGCAGGCGCGGGCCTGGAGGTCTGCACGCCCGCTGCACCCAGCATGCGCTCTGCACCCAGGGGCGCACGCCCCACCGGACGGTGCTGGGGGATCGCACGCCGTGGCCCCCGAGCTCGGCCCGACTCCTGACACCCGGGGCCGGCCTGGGGTCGCCAGCGCCCGCCCGGCCGGGTCCCCGCGCGCGCCCCACGCCGCGCCGGCCCGGGGGCCGCCGGCGGGGCCGTGCCCGCCATAATTCCGAGTCGGCCGCGAGCGCGCACCCCCCGGAAGCGGAAGCAGGCCCCACGCCGTCGCCGCCGCGGAAGTGACGTCACCACGCGCCGGCGTATGGGAAACGTGCGTACGTACGGCGGGGCAGCAGGGCGGGGGGAGGGGCGCTGCTCTCGCAATGTGGAGATCTCGCGGGATCTCTGGAGGGGCGGACGCCCCCGCCAGCGTATAAAAAGCGCCGAGGCCGGCCGGAAACCCGCGTTGGTGCCCGAGACCGGCCTTCTGTGTTGTGTGTCTTTTTGCTGGTTTATTCGGCGGAGTAATTAAACAGGGGCTCCCCGGGAACAGGCTGAGGGCCGACAAGGATGACTACCAGGGAAGAGATTAGTTTGGACAGAGATCTCTGAAATATGTAAATTCATGTTTTTGTAGGTGTTAGGAAGGCGATGTCAGTGATAGGCCAACGCCCCGAAGTGGGTCCACTACTCCCGCGGAAGGCGTCTGTCTCGGCTGTTGCCATTTTAGCTGTCGCCAGCGTCCGACAGCTGGCCAGCCCGAGCTCGCGACGACTTGGGTGTCGGACTCGCACCCGAGCGAGGCTTGACTTCCGTGGAGCCCGGTGTGAACTCCAGGGCTTTGTTCCCGGGGGGCGCTTTCGTTCTGGCCTGCAGGACACGGGACTAGCCAGATGGGGTCGCCCGCCGCTTCCGCACCAACCTGCCATTCTGAGCATCCACACCCAGCTCCTTAGGATGCCCCTGCCAACCTCGCTGCCCAGGGCAGCTCGTCCCTTGTTGAGAATCACATTTCCTGCTTTGGGAGAGTGACACCTCCCGGGGCCCAGCCCAGTCCTCCTCTGTGTGCCCGGCTTGCATCTGGGCATAGCTATACCCATGGCCTCTTGTCAGCAGTGCTTTCAAGCCCTGGGCTCCCATATGGCAGACTGCGGTTCACATCCTGGACCTGGGGCTTGCTTTCTCAGTTTCTCTCTCTCCCTGTGTTCCTCTTTGGTGAGTGCACATGCCCTATAACAAATTTTAAAAATTATAACGGTAAATAAAATTAATTTATAAAAAGGCTTTCCTGCTGTAAAGGTTAACGTGGCTAAAACCAGACCTGCATTTTATCAAGGAGTCTGCCCTCCCTGTCCACGGGAAACAAGTAAATGCTGGCCCCTCTGAGCCTTCAGCCCCCGATCTGCATCAGATTGTCCACACCAGGAGACTGGCCTGATAATTAAGCAAACCTCTTTTTAAAAAATTAAGTAACTATTTTATTTATTATTATTATTTTAATGTACTATAGGCCACATGTACTCACCAGAGAGAAACAGAAAGAGGAAAAGTGAGAAAGCAAACCAAGTCTGGGCCTCCAGCACCTTCACCACCCAACCCCGGCTGGCCCCAGCAGGCCTCTACCTTAGATAAAGTCAAGCAGAAGTGCAGACGCTCCTGTCGCCTCACTCCCTCTGCCTTGCCAGCTGTGCCCCGGGCCACGACGTGAAGCCCACAGGTCTCAGTGCCTAGTGTGAGGACAGTATATGAAATGCCTCGTGTGCACCGGCTGCGTTGAAATGATCATAGTTTGGACATACTGGGTTATTGCTACTTAACACAGAAAACGATGTTATTTAAATTAACCTCGGGGCCGGACAGTGGCACCCCAAAAACGGGTTCCCTGAGAGGCCGACCCACGTGGGAAAGTTCACATCCAGAGAGCTCCCCGAGTATGCCAGGCAAGCAGGTGCCCATGATCCGGCCTGGCAGGCTGGGCCGCATCACGGCATCGGGACCCTTTGGGGCTGTTTCTCTCAGGGAAGAAATAAATACACTTTGGGGGCAGCAGGTGGCGTGGTGGTTAGGGCACTGGACTCCCACATAGCTGATGATGGTTTGAGCCCCAGACCTGGAGGCTCGCTTTCTCTCCACTCCCATCTCTCTGATGGCTATAGAATGCTAATCAAATAAAAAAGATACACTTCACGAAATTTTATTTCACCTCTTTTTACTTTTTAAAAATGTGGCGAATACTTTTTAATTGTATCCCTGTTGGGCTGTACTGCTCTGGGTGCTGACCAGCGGTAAAATAGCCTTGCCAAGGTGGAGGTGGAGAGTCCATTGACGGTGACTGACAGAATTTCCCGTCGAGGGGGAGGGGCCGAGCCGCACTCCTCTCCCAGGTGCAGGGAGGACTCTCGCCTCCTGGGGGGCCGGGGGTGTTCCGGTCTTAGGCTCCAACTCCAGCTCCGCCTAGGCTTGTTCACGTCTCTGCGACCTGGCGACCTGACGCCCCATGCCCTTTTCCTGGCAGTGTCCCTGGTGCTGTGTCCGATCGCTCTTGTCGTTTCACAGGGCCACCAACCTTTTAGGCCAGGGTCAGCGAGGACAGCAGGAGGAGCGTGCTCAGCGTTCTGTAGGGAAGCGCGGGGGACTGAGCAGATGCGGCCCCTCCCTCCTGGAGAGCAGATCTGCCCCCCAGACACCCCACGTGAGCAGCGAGGTGCTGGTGAAGAGAGGCGTGGGTGGCTCGTGGCCTGCTCCAGCAGAGGGTGCGGAGGGTGAAGGAGGAGTTTGGCAGACTCCGGGGAAGTAGGCGGCGTCACGCGTGAGCATACAGGTGCAGTGAGAGACCTGCCTTTTCATGATGTGGGAGCGGCCGGGTCTCGGAGAAGAGGCTTCCCGTTAACCTCGGGGCCTATGTTCTGCACACCAGACCTCCTCCATGTCGTCTGCCCCATGTGCCATCACCAGTGGGTGACCGCGAGCCCGCCGACCGCGAGCCCACAGCACGCCTGCCACCGGTCCTATCTGTGAGGCCACGCTCCAGGCAGCTCTGGCGGCCGCGCACAGGTGTCTCCTTAGAAACGGAGCACACTCGGGGTCCCGCAGCACCGCTCCGGCTCCAGGTGAGTGCTTGTGCACTCGGCAGGCACCCCACTTCCTGTTCCAAGTGCGGGCGCAGGCGTGCGGATCTTAGCTAGTTTGCAAGCAGTCAGGTAACTTCAAACCCTGCAGGAGAGGTAGGACCGGCCGGACTCTGAGTGCCCTAGACAGTGGCTTCTAACCCCTTGTCACCCTGGGGCTCTTCACCTCCAGGCCCCTGGGCAGCCCAAAAGGAGACCTCCAGTCACAGAGGCCAGGCCCTTGTGCCCCGCCCCAGGACCCCACGCTCACCAGCACCTCGCGTCCCACGCCTTTTTTGTTTGTTTTAGATTTTTGCCATAGGGTGTGTGTACTTGCCAGAGAGACAGAGAGACAGAGTGAGACAGAGAGACAGAGACAGAGAGACAGAGTGAGGAATCACGAAGGGGTGGCCACACCACAACCCCTTGTCTTCCATTCTCTCGAGATTTCGGCCACGCATGCACGCACCTGGTGTGTTTATTAAGCCACTGGGTTCGGAACTCAAACTGTGGTCAGCCATGTGGGAGTCCAGGGCCTTAATCACCGTGTCACCTGCCAGGCCCTCCCCTGTCGTTTATGTTTGGGGGAGAGCAGGACCATGTGCTTTGTCCTCCTCCGTCTCCCTAACACACAGTAGTGTGCAGTAAGTAGCTGCTGGCGTGCTCACCATGTGGACCTCCAGGGCGGGGGGTGGGGGGGACAGGTCGTGTCCCAGTGAGCAGGAGTGCCGTGAGCTTGCCAAGGTGCTGTGAGGGAGACAGGAGCAGCGCAGGGGTCCACACCACAGGCCCCGCCCCTGTGCCCACACTGCACTGCACCCACGCTGGCTCCTGGAGTCCACTGAAGGAGTTGGGGTGGTTTCATCTGTACAGGGGCAGAGCCGCTCAGCTGGGCTGGAGTCCCCTGAGTCACCCCTCCTGCAGGAGGGGATGTCCTGGATAGAAGTAGCCTCCACCTGATCCCAGGGGCTGTCTCCAGAGAGCCAGTTCCTGCCACAGGCCCCCACCCTAGGCATTAAAGGGTGACCCTGGTCCTTTCTAGGCAGGGTCCTCTGTAACCACATGTGGCTGGGTGGGGCACCGTCCTAAGCACGGCTGACCCACACCGTAGCAGGTGACAGATGTGCAGAGACGCCCCTGTCGGGCAGGTGCAGGTGCAGGTCGGGGCGCTGGAGTCAGTGGAGGAGGGCCAGAGCGACAGAGCACATGAACGGGAGCCCACTGTAGGCTGTGTGACAGCCGTGATGTAAGTAAGGCAGCGTGGCGGAGTGACGGGCGAGTGACGGTGTGGCGCGCCTGCGCTCAGGGAGGAGGTGGCCAGTGACACTCAGAGGAGTCATTCCAGGAAGAGAGGACCTGGGACGGGCATGAGATCGACAGCTCAGGGCCGGAGGCGCGGCGGTTGTAGCACAGAGAGTGTAGGCAGCGGGGGCTGGGGAGGTAGGGACAAGAGCTGGGCCAGGGCCAGATCATAAAAGGTCTTACGGAGTATCGTGGCTGCCAAGGGAGCCACTTGGGGGTGGCCTTCTTCTGGGAGAGGGACACACATTCTGGTAAGGTTTAGAGATGACATGACTGCTGCCCGAGGCTGGAGTGAAGGGACTGGAAAGGGTCAGGAGAAGGGGCTGGGAGCCCCAGGGAGCGGTGGTGGCCGAGAGAGCCGGCTCAGCGGCAGTGGTGACAGGGGTCTTGCAGATATTGGGGAGAAGGCTGATGGACGGGCTGGGCAGGACCCAGGAGGACAAAGTGGGCGCCTGGCCTCGGCGTGAGCCCCTGCGTGAGACGAGAATGACGTGAGCACCCGTGTTCCAGCAGCGCCACTCACGGTAACGGAGCTGGGAGCGGGCGCAGCGTGGGCGTCTCAGACAGTGGACTGTTACGTGGCCGCCCAGGAAGGAACCGTGGGCACACGTGGTGATGTAGGACTACAGACATCACACTCAGCAGAGAAGCCGGCCACCAAGGCCACCTCACATGACGCTTACACGGAGCGTGCGGGACAGGCACGTCCACGGGCTCAGAGGGCTGCTGTGTGGCTTGGGAGCAACAGGTCACACAGCGTCATGAGTGGGCGGAGTGCCGCTGAGCGCTAAACGGCGGTGTCTCGCTGTGTGAGTTTCACCTCGATTTTTTAAAAGGAAAAGAAAATCTGATAGATCCAGCCCATGGGTGGGATCTGTGGTGCCCAGACCCCGGGCAGCGTTGGCAGGTGGGCAGCGGTGGGAGCAGCAGGCGCTGGCTATGGAAAGAACTCAAGCAAGAGGCTTCCTGTCCTTCTCCCCCACTCCGCCATGGTGCAGCCAGAGGGGGCCAGGCCAGCTGCAGTCGGTCCTAGGAGGGCCACAACATGGAGGCATGCCTGGCTGCTGAGATGCCAGCTCAGAGCCCAGAACCTGTTCAGAACATCCAGGACAAAGTCCTCGAATCCTCCCGGTCACTGTCGCAGGGAGAAGCGTCATCCTCGTTTTACGGTTCGCAGTCCCACATCTGCTGTCCACCCAGGGCAGGGGAGTAGATGCAGGACCTTCTCCAGCGTAACCCCCATTCTTGGGGTTCTCCTGTGCAGGTTCTGGCAGTCTCGCTGTGTCATGGCCTTCCTGCCCTGGCCTCAGCTAGAACTGTGCCCAGTGTTCAGATCTGCCTGGGAACTGAACCCTGGCCCTGCGTGGCGGCCTCCCATGTGGTGGCACTACCCGTGCGCCTGGCGTTCTCCTCGTACAGCCTAGCATCTCCCTCTTCACCCGACCACAAGATCGCCCTCCCCTAACTCTTCAGATTTGAGGCTGAGTAGTGTGTCCCAGAGGGTCTGCAGCCCTCACTGATCGCTGCCTGGGGCTGGGGCCACTAGGTGGTGCCATCCTGGTGCCCAGCTGCCCACGCTGCAGTTTCTCTGGGGACGCCCTCACCCAGCCGTTACCACAGGGGTTTTATGGACCCCAGCCGCAGTGACCCGCCCCCCCTGCCGGTCTGGAGGTCCTCCAGAGGGAGCCGCAAGAATAAGATAGGGGCTTAGCCCTTGGAAAACTTGTTCCCAGAGCTCCCTATTTCTGTTCTGAAGAGCAGCAGCCTGGCATTCTCTGTGACCATCCAGAACATTCCCTGTACGGGCACGGTCAGGTGTGCTTTCCCACCACGAGGCAGGCCACGCTTGGCACTGCTGGAGCCATCAGGAGGCCGAGGCTGAGGGGAAGAGCCTGCCCGAGGCCCGGCTGCTGCACACGGACTAGCGCTAGTTCCAGAGCACGCGCGGCCCGCGCTGGCCTCCGAGCTCTGCCAGCGTGGCTGCAGCTCCTCGCCCTGGTCTGGCTGCGTGGGCGGTGTGATTTGGGCTGTGGCTGCCAATCAGCAGGCCAAACCGACCTCCAGCGTGACCTCCAGCGTCCGCATGATAAGCCTTAAGGTCCTTCTTCCTACTCGAGTGGTGAATTTCCCTTCTCTCCCCACCAGTGTCTGCCTCAGCCAGAAGCAGGACCCAAGCTGTGTCATGGACCTTCACGGTCTGGGGTGGGGACGCGAAAGAGAACGAGACAGACGAGAATTCCTGTCCTCCGTAGGTCACGGGCTTGCAGTGGGAGGCAGGCAAGGAGCCAGACAGAAACTAGAACACGCGCCGTGTCGGGGGCGGTAAGTCCTAAAGAGAAGGCCAGCATGGGACAGGGAAGCACAGGGAGCCTGCCCCTCAAACAGAGCCAGGGCAGAGCCTCCTGGGGAAGGAGGCGTTTGAGTGGCACCCACCCTGGAGGAGGCGAGGGAGAGTTCCAGCAGGGAGAGCAAGTGCGAAGGCCCTGGGCAGGAGTGGCTGGGGCATCCGCAGGCTGCCAAGGAGGCCTGGTGTCTGCGGCAGGGGAAAGGGAGCGAGTTCCAGGTGCCAGATAGGCAGGGCCTGCTGGGTCGTGCCGAGGTCCGGGACCTGCCGACGGGCACAAGTGGCATGCCCAGCTCACGCTTTCACAGGACTGCCTGCCTGCTGAGCTGGGGGTCGGCAGTGGGCACAGCCACTGCAGAGGTCCAGGGCGGTGACCACGGGCACAGCCACGCAGGTGGGAAGTGTCAGACCCCACACAGAGCTCAGAGGAAGCAGGACTTTCCTTAACAGTAAATGGCAGTTACGGGGTTCTGACTCCAGACGGGTGGATTGGGATTTGAGTTTATTCGTCCATTTTTTTCTGAGACACGGAGAGATACTCCTTCCGGGGCCCAGGCCGGGGCCCTCGTCAGTCTGGACTGCACCAGCACAGGCAGGTCCGGGCCCTGAACCTAAGACCTTCCCATGTGGGTCCAGTCGCATTACTGCTGAGCCACCACTTGGCCCCTCACCCATGAGGACAAGGAAGGAGCCCGGAGGTGACCCAAGTTCCCTAGGAGTTTCCCGAGGGGGACAGCGTGATAAACTGGGCCAGTGGTTCACAAAGGAGAGAGAACTCCCGGCCCGACCCTGACACCCTCCACCCCCACCCCCCCACTGCCTCTGCAGGTCGACCAGATGCACGACAGTTCTCCGAGGGTTCTCCTGTCCCTTCCGTCAGCAAAACAAAGGCTGGGCTGGCTCCATGGAGGCGGAAGCTCCCGGCACCCATAAAAGGCACACTGGGGGCGGGGTGGGGCTGGACACCAGCTGTCAAACCTGCTCGTCCACTGCTGTTCGGCACGACATCCCGCCACCTCTCTTCTCTGTCCTATCTCTCTGCTCCAGAGGCAGAGGGCAAGCACAGAGGTGTCCCGTGGAGAGCAGGTCAGCAGCCAGGGGACGGGGACAGCCGGGGTGGGGTTGCGAGGTGTTCTGGGGTGTTCTGGCTTTCGGGGCTGGCTTTTTCCCTGTAGGAGTGGAGGTGGTTCCTGGCCTGAGGATGCAGGGGGGAAGCGGCTGGTCCGCGTTGCTGGGTTCAAGTACTGGACGTTTCCTGGTGCTGAGCGCCAGCTCAAAACTGGACCATGCTGGCTGGACGGCGTCCCGGTCTTACCCTGTCTCCTTATCGTCCTGGGATGAGCCAAAGAGGAAGGAGGTTTCCAACGCAGGCACGGTGTGAGCAAGGCGCTGCTCCCTGTGGTGGTGAGGCTGTGCCAGACCTGGGCGCTGGGGGCCCGGCCTGTGCAGGCGGCACGGGGGACGCTCTCCCTCTGTGTCGCTGACCGTCTGCCGCACCCGCCGTACTGACTGGTCTGCCGGCTCTTCCCAGCTCATGCCCGCCTCTTCTGGAGTCCTGCTCTCGAGTGGGCTCTGAGTGAGTGTGACTCTGTGTGTGTGTGTGTGTGTGCGGGCGTGCACATGGGTGTGCAACATGCTTTCTCTTCCCCTACTGCACAGACGAGACAAGCTATGGCCCTCGGTATGAGAAGAAGTTGATGGGGAGACCCATGGGAGGGCCCGAGTTGCAGATGCCCAGGCCCCTTCCAACCCCAGACTCTCCTTGATAGCCGTAGAGAAGACAATCGCGTCAGAATGTCCACAGGGACCTCTGGGCTGTTTCCTTCACTGTAGGGCCCAGCCCCGTGACAGAGCGGGCCTCACATTTGGAACTGCTGTCTGAGGGGCTAGTGCCAGCTGCTCCCCTGCACAGAGGGCAGAATGGGGGCTGGCCCCGTGCGTGACAGCTGGTGTCACACAGAGGGAGCCAGTCTCACGTGGTCAGCCAGCTCTAAGCCCCTGCCTCATGGCTTGAAAAACATTCCACGTGTGCACGCATGTGGCCAGGACCCTGACGTGGTGGAGAGTTGGAGAGGGCTGCAGTGTGACCAAGCCTCTTAAGGGCTTCTCTCTCTCTCATGCCTGTACCCTCTGGCATTAAGGGAGGAAAAAGCAGCAGCAGGCTGGAATGACTACACCCTCACCCCGGGTGTGGGGGCTTTGGCTGGGTAGGGGTCCCGGAGTGCCTGTCCTCGGCTGCCCTGGTCAGCTCACGCGGTGGGATGGCAGAGTGGGCACAAAGGCAGGGGTGTCGGACCTCATGTGGGAGGCCTGTGGTGCTCTGGGCAAGTGGGAGCCAGACGGGCAGTCGGACTAGGAAACCCCCTGAGTCCATCCCAGAGGAGGCACCAGAAGTACCTGCAGTCCTTCAGCCCTGGTCATCCTGGTCCCCAGGGCACCCTCTGAGACCTGGTATCTGAACGCTGGCCACCTGCTGGCAAGGTGGCCACTCGGTGTCTCGGTGTGACGCTGTATCGGAGAGCACACACCAGTGAGATTTGCTAAAACCAAGTTAGTATCTGGGAGCCCTGATCATGGGAGCACGTTCTCTTTACATGCTTTAAGTGTGAAATACTAATTTTACTTAAATCTAACATTACTAAAAAATAATGATCGGTGGGAACAACGCTTAGGCGCTGGATTCCCACATGGTTGACCACAGTTTGGGTCTGGGACCTGGAAGCTTGAAAATCAAGCTGGGAGGGGCCGGCAGGTGGCATGGTGGTTAAGGCTACTGGACTTCCACATGACTGACCGCGGTTCGGGTCCCGAACCTGGTAGCTTGCTTTCTCACTTTCTCTCTCTCTGTCTCTCTCACTGTCCTCTGGTCGAATTAAAATAAATAAGTAAATAAATAAATAAAATAATTCTTTAAAAAAAAGAAAGAAAGAAAAGCAAGCCAGGTGCGCGTGCTTGTGTGCCCAGAATCCCAAACGGAGAATGGAAGAGAAGGGACTGAGGCATGGCCATCTCTGTGAGAGGCAATTTTTCGCTTTTCCTCTCTGTCTCTCTCCAGCAAGCACACAGGCCTATGGCAAAAACCTAAGGGGAAAAAGAGTGATGAGGCCAGCCTCATGGCCTTGTGGATAAGGCAGCTAGATTTCACATGGCCAACCATGCGGTTCAGGTCCCAGACCCTGCGGCTTGAACAACGCACCAGGCACATGTGCATGCCCAAAACTCCAAAAGAAGGGACAGAAGGAGGAATGGGATTTGGGCATGCTGGTGCCCCATGTGGGGGTGCTTTCTCCCTCTTTCTCTGTGTCTTTCTCTGGTGAGCACACATGCCATACAGCAAATTTTTTACATAATCCCAACAGGGGCCAGCAGGTGGCGTGGTGGTTGGGGTGTGAGCTCCCACATGGCCGACTGGGATTTGAGTCCCAGACCTCGCGGCTTGCTTTCTCACTTCCCCTCTCTCACTTTATCCATTTCTGGTCAAATTTAAATAAATAAATTTTTTAAAATAATTATAATAATATATAAAATTTTAAAATATAAGTAGCGGTGGAATTTCTGAATGCATATAAACATTTCTCAACTACAAGAATTATTAGTTCTCTTTTTAAAAAGAACTATTTATTTCATCTTATTTATTATTATTATTA